TATTCTTATGTAATAATTCTTAAAGTTTTTTAATGTATCATAAAAGTAAATAACAGGTTCAAATATCAAGCAGTTAATAAGAATAATAATACAAGATATTTGTTACTGTGACGGTTATTAAAAATTCAAATTTGTAATCTACTAATAATCGTTAGGAAAAGATTTTTAATCTCAAAATTGAAATAAAAAAATAATTCAACTCACTGAAATAATGTGCAAGTAAAAAGGAAATAGAAGATAAGTTATTGCCCTGGAGGATTGTTAAACTTTACCTACATTTTTTAACATCATTTTTCGAAATGTAATTTCGAAAGATCGTCGTTTATAGTATTTAATATTTAAAGATGTAATATCAATAACATAAAAATAAAAAAGATGGAATATGATTAATACATCACGTAAAACAAACAAAGTAGAAGACAGAAATAATAATTTCTTAAATTGCATAAGAGTACTTGTAATTTTTGTAAATCACAATAAAAATACATATTTGATACTTTTCGAAAATGATATAAATACTTATGCAAATTAACAATCAATGCTTTTTTATTTAATTTTTATATTCCGGAAAGGAATTTGAAAGGAATGAAATTGCGTGATTTTAATAAATCGATAATTATGATTTTAATAAGTGAAGAAGATGAGATTAAATCACCGCAAAAAGATGCGGCAACTTAATATCGTTTGCTTGATTGATGAGAATCACAATTTTATTCCTCTCAGGAAATATAAAAATTAATAAAAGTAATAAATAATTAATTAATTTCCATAGTTTTTCAATTAAGATTTCTAAAATAGATTCAATTTCTCAAATAAATATTAAATTTAATAATTCTTTATAATTGGATTAATTAACTATTTAAACTTTTATTAAGAGATAAAAATGCTTAAAATAATTTTATGTGGCAAACAAAATTTGCCATTTAGCAACTTATCAGTATTATTATACCAATAAATAAGAAATGAAAGAGATGAAATTAGTTAATAATAAATAGTGAAAATTAATAACAAAAAATGTAAACGCAGTTAATTTCTTCTATATGACACGAGGAAAGTAAATTTCATAATTTTGATTCTTCTTCGTTAATAATGTAGCAATATATAATATAATGTTTATAAGAGATATAAGCAAAGATATATATGAGATATATTAAAGGAAAAGAAGCTAGTGACGGCAACCGGAAATTCACTACGAGAAGGCGGAGAGAGAAAGGAGACCAGAAAGCAAGCAGGTCAGACAACCCTTTCGCGCTGTAAGAAACGTAGAGAGAGGGAAAGAATATCACCGAGTAGGTCGGCGCCCTTTGTTTTTCTCGCGCATCTAACGAGGATTTACCGCTGTTACAACCACCCGTTCTCCTCGACAGTCGCCATCATCACCAGCGCAGCATCGGTGTGAAGATCTCTCGATGCCGGAGAAAAACGTGGTATCTCGGTTCCAGCAGAAGTCGTAAGGATAAAGCAACGACGCTGTCTCCCGCAGGAACCAATTTAGGTACGCGCTCGCAGACAGATTTAAATCAAATCAACCTCACCGCTATATTCGCGAAAATTAATCCGCGACGAGGTGCCCTCCGAGTCTTCATCCCGGAAAAATAGTGGCATTGCAAAAATTTTTGATTTTAAAATTCAAACTATTACAGTCGAACTGTTACTGCTCTCCGGTAAGGAATTTGAAAGAAGTAATTATAATAAAAATAAAAGATTACACAGAAAAAAAATTTGCAAATTTTAAATATTATAAATGTAAACATATATTTATTCAATTTAAACATAACTGTCTTATTTTGAATAAATATTTATTTACTATAAATAAATATTTCATTAGTACTATTGGAGTAAATATTTATTTAAAATTTGCACATTTTTTTTCAGTGTATGAATTTAGCTATTTCTTCATATTCCACTTTTCAAAGCAAAACATGAAGGAAAAAATGGTAACGTCCGTGAATCAACGTCAAAACATTAATTATTATTATTCAATTAATTATAATTCTTTTATATAATGAGCTCTATATTATTTTTAGAGATGTCTATCTAGAATATGACGTGTCTATTTATCTGCTTATTTACATATCTCTCTTTCGATTTTTCATTATTTATTTCATTTAATTACACGATTTTCGAAATCGTCAACATTTGAAAATATCGTGTGACCGAAGGAAAAATCTCTCGATTTATCGGCGCACTCATCCCTGAGTTGCATTGACAATCTTGGCTGATTCGAAAGTCTGCAACGCGAAGAGGAACAAGTAGAAAAGGACGACGGCGATCGCGACCTGGCGCGGAGCGACGAGACGAAAGAAGTCTTGATATATCCGCCAAACACAAGGGGCCCGAACACCTCGGCGGGATTTATCGGGACTACGGATAATGGATGGCTTCGCGCAGCTACCGAGGACTCCGCTTTTTTAAATAATACAACGCAGAACGCTGAAAAATTCCTGGCTCTCGATAATCGCGGCTACTTAAATACGGTGCATATATATATGTAACGAAATTATTGAAAAACTATCAGTTTCGTTTGTTAAGTAAATGTATAAACATTACAGATAAATCTTGTCCAATTACACTTATCATATTATTCATCGCTTCCTCAATAAAAAATAAATTATCATTAGAAAAAAAATTTCAAAATCTCGTTCAAAACTATAAGTAAAAAGATAAAGATAATGACATGTTAAGCTAAGAAAAGACTAAGAAAAGACTCTTCAGACTAATTTTGTATGGAAAATTAGCTTTCTGTAAAATGAATTAGTTTTCGCCTATATGATGTAGCTTATAATGTGGTGAATAAAAGAATGTCATAAACTCAATAATAGTTTGTTTTTTTATTACTGCACTAAACTGCTCTAAAATTTTTCTTCTCGCTTTTGCCAAATATTAAACATATATCGATTTCAATTTAAGTACAAAAAGTAATCCAGTTTAGCTGTAAAAATTGACCTACTAAATAGTTTTTTAATTACGATGTACCAAAAATACTGAGCTGTAAAAACTAATTCATTTCATCTTAATTTTTCATATAATTAGTTCTTTGAGAATCCTTTACAATCTTCGCATATATAATTAACAGTACATATATATGATGCATGAAAATATATTTTTAATATCAAGAGAAAAAATTCTGACAATATATAGAATACTTTGTACTGTCTCCTGTTTCAACAGCGAATATGTAAAATCAAAAGAGAACTCGACTATTTCAATGTAAAGATATCAAAAAGCGTAGTTACGGCAGTAACGACGAAACTCAAAGGATTTCGGCGACCGGGCTTCAGGTGTAACAGTGACGACAGCTTAACAGCTTTAACCGGCTTTCCAAAGTAAATTTACCTCTGGAAAGTAGATTTACACTAAGATTTAAGAGGAAGCAAGGAACGGCCGGCGCGCGTCGAGGCGGACGAACCGCGAGACAAAAATCGCGAAGGGCATCGTCATCAGATTGGATCCACCGCGGGAATGTATTTAATTCGATTGGCCTTTGCCGCCTCCGCCGTTGCTACCACGACTGTTGGACGAGGGTGAGAAGAGCGGGGTGGCTTTTATCGGGGGGGGGGGGGGG